GCATCAGCATAAAAATGGAAGGGAACGTTGTGGCTAGATATAATGGCGGCAAGTGGTGACAGATACAAGGAAAATAAAGGGGCCAGAGTGGAGCCTTGCGGGACACCTGAAGTCAGGGAAGCTGCGCCGGAAGAATGGTCACCAATCATAACCGAATAGGTTTTATCGGTAAGATAGGACTCAAACCACCTTAGCACCTCCCCTCCCAGGCCGAAAAGGTGCTGGAGTTTTAGAAGTAAAATGGAGTGGTCCACTGTGTCAAATGCCGCAGTTAAGTCCAGCAAAGCTAAAATAACTGGGCGTCCAGCATCCAAGGCTAATGCAACATTGTTATGTACCTTGAGTAAAGCAGACTCCGTGCTGTGTCGAGCCCTGAACCCAGATCAAAATTTATCACCCAAATCTAAAGATTTAGGAAGTATGTAAAAAATCTGAATAGACACACTAAATCTTAGTACATTTTCAAAGGTATATAGGTATAAGAAATGATTCTCAGCCCCAGTACACAGTTGCTCACCTTGCAACACAACCCCAGTTCATTTGTTATGACAAATGGAGAAATGGCATGCCCACAAATTTGTTCCTGAATGGGAGGAGTACATACTCTGAACCACACATGTTTTAAGTTCTGAGAGAGACACCTGAGCAAACGAGGTAAAGGTATCACCAGGGTAGGACACAGCTGGGGCATAAGGTGGAAGATGTAGAAGACTCACTCTGATGGCTCGGACTTTTTCACTAAAATGCACTAAAAAGTCGTCACACAAAGTATCAGAAGCTTCAGAAAACACAGCACTAGAGGGATTGATAACCGAGTTGGGGGCAGCAGTGGCTCAGGAGGTAGAGTGGGTTGTCTCTTAACAGGAAGATTAGCGGTTCAATTCCTGGCTTATCCAGTCCACAAATGTCCTTGAGTAAGACCCTGATCCCCAGTTGCTCCCGGTGATGACACCAGTGCATGAATGTGGGAGTGCAAATGGGTGAATGACTAAATAGTGTGAAAGCACTTTGAGTGAGCACAGACTTACTGTATATGTGGAAATCCGGTGAACTGTGTTGTGGTCAGAATTTGACAGACTTAAGTTTGGCTTTGTGTTGGTCTGGAACACGCTTTTTCAGTGACCTTGTGTTGCTGAGTAGCATGGTGGGCAGGACTAGCCTGCTGAGATGCTGCCTCACTCCATCTGTCTGGCCTCTCTTCCACAGGCATCTTCTGTTGGCAGGTGGAGTGAAGAAGCGGTTCTGAGAAACTGAAGGGAGAATTGTGCATCTCATGAGTGTTAGCCCATTATACACACGTGTTGTTGTCCAACAAAGTATAGGTAGCTGTTGAGTGGCATAAGGAGCAAGATATAACAGTGTGTGGCCACGGCCACATCAAGCATGTTAGCTACTGACTGCTATTGTTAATTGACGTGATGCATACAGCAGCAAAATGAACACACACTAAAACTGATTTAACAGAAAAAGCACTGAAACACAAGTTAAAATAATATATTATAAACAATGGATTACAGTAAAACCTTGGATTGCGAGTAACCCGGTCTGCGAGTGTTTTGCAAGACGAGCAAAAATTTGCAGTGCTTGCAGGTTGCAGGCTTCTCATGCATTAGTTCAAATAGGCCACTGAACAGCTCAGAGCAGCAAATGGGATAATTGCTCTCTACCAGAGTGCACACATCATATAAAGAGCAGTGGGGTCAAAAAGCGAGGCACATTTCTTCTGATGATCGTGCTTTTGGCAGTAATAATGGCTGGAGCTGGGAGACAAATTGAATTGCAGGCCAATGCAGCGGATACAGTATGTAGCAAAGGAGGAAAGGCGAATGCTCTTTTCTTTTTATCAGATGGGATTTAACCATTAGGACTGTGGTTGGTCAGCAGCCACTGAAAGCCTCTGGCTGGTCACATGGACTGGAGACAACACACTGGAAAGCACAGTGAATACTGAAACAAGCCTACATATATTGATAGGAAAAAAAATCTATGACACTTCAATTAATCTGAGAAAAAGATAGTTCACCAAAAATTTAGATTATTTCAACAGAAATACATTTTCTTCTAATCTGGGTTGAACAAATATGTCATAAAAACAGCCAGAGGTGGAAAGTAACTAAATACATTTACTCAACTACTGTACTTAAATAAAATTGAGGTGTCTGTGCTTTACTTGAGTATTTTCATTTTTTGCTACTTTATACTTCAACTTCAGAGAAAAATAATGTACTTTGTACTCATTACATTTTTATCTGTTACCAGTTACTATACATAAAGAGGTTAGTAAAACACAATCCAGTATAATCACAAGGTTTATTGATCCTCTAAGTAAAATCCATAAGACACCCAGCAGTAATTCAAATTATAAGCATATACTGTAAGGTAGGTAACATTAGCTCTACCTTTACCAGCTGCAACATTAAATGTGATGTACACAATAATACATCAATAATCATAATCAAATAATATGATGTACATCAATGTAAAATGTACCTTTTTGCATAATGAGTACTTTTTACTTTTGGTACTTTAAGTATATTTTCTCTCGATACTTTTGTACTTTTACTTTTGTAACATTTTGAATACAGGACTTTTACTTGTAACAGAATATTTTACACCATGGTATTGCTACTTTTACTTGAGTACACAATGTGAGTACTTCTTCCACCACTGAAGACAGCTCTGTGACACTGGGAGGTATAGACAATGTGCAGTAACACCATTCTCAGACCCTGTGAGTCAGGGACAGGACCCAAACATGCAAACATATGTCAGTCTGCCAGTACCTGCAATTTTCCAAATTTTGTAAGTAAATTCAACACCTTTTTTTCTCAGTCTTTCTCTATGTAAATTCTCTCCCAGCTTGCTTGCTTCAAAGATGGCGCTCCTTGGGGTGCGACGTCGCAGTTCACTCGGAGTCAGGTTGTTTCTCTTTTGTCTCTTTTTTGCTTATTTGTGCCGTGTTAAAGCAACAGTAAAGACCGCAAACTTTATTTATGACCGGGTGACTTTGTTGCTGCTAAGAGAGCACAGTCTTTTTGGAGATTTTGACCCCAGCACGTTGGACTCTCACCCAGAGCTAATATGCTATGTCAACATGATGCCAGGCCAACCCCCAGCAGGGAGCTCTTCCAATAACAACAAGCCGAAGACGAGACGAGACGGGGGGGAGTCGAATGGAGGCTCCCGTGCTTGGTTAGCAGCCGGCAGGCTGGCCCTCCCCGCTACTGTTCGCAAATGTCCAGTCTCTGGATAATAAACTGGATGAACTCCACACTCAAATTACCTTGCAGAAGAACATACAGGACTGCTCCCTGCTGTGTTTTTGTGAAACATGGCTGGGAAAAGAGACTCCCGATGAGGCAATAACTCTGGATGGTTATTCTGTGTTCAGACAGGATTGCAGCGCCGCTGAAAGCGGCAAGACCCACAGAGGAGGAACGGTTGCCTTTGTCAAACAGTCCTGGTGGAGTGTAGTTTATGCCCCCCCGCCTCAGGCAAAGGGGAAGCTGCACTGAAGGAACTGTACAGAATGATTCATGAGCATGAAAACACACATCATGATGCTGCTTTTATTACTATGGGATTTTAACCATTGCAATCTCAGGAAAAGCATGCTGTAGTGGTTAAAACAAACAAGCTACAGTTAATATACAATATGTAATAGAATACAGTGAGAGTGTGTAGATTACATGTAGTTACTATATGCAGT